TTGTACCTATTTTGAACAAATAGGTTAAAAACCTTACCCACCTATTTGCTCTTTTTTTTCACAGATAAATTTTTTTTTTTAAAGCAGTGATTTCTATAAAAAGAACAAATATAAAAATTGTTGATTTCTTCGAAAGGCGTTATATAAGTTAAGAATATTCTATTTATATCATTAAAAGTGTCAAATATTCTTTCAGAATTTAGCGTATTTCTAGGTTGGAAAAAGTATCAATATCAATATATTTGCAATAAAAAAAAAAGTCTAATTATTAATTTGTTATTCGTTAAGAATTATAAATAAATATAATGGCATAGTGTTCATGACATACAGTGGACCACAAAAGTGTTCCTACACTTGCAATTTCCTATAAAATTTAATGTTTTCGACTAATAAAAATTATTTTGGAATTGTAATTTTTTTATGATATCTGCAACTTGTTCAATTTCTTAAAAATAGTATAACTATTATTTTTAAAAATTAATAATCAAAAAGCTACTGAAAAATTACGCCTCTTCAATATCCAAATTTTGGGTGGATAATTTAAAATTTCTCTTTAAAGTATTTAAATAGAGCTCATGATTCACAATACCATAAAAAAAAACCAAATTACCTAATTTTGAGGCCGATTTACACCCCACGCAAGAACACTTCCACTTTCATGCTGAAGCATGGAGGTGGAGGAGTTCTTGTTCCATATAAATTCATGGGATTAAATTCCTCATTTTTTCATTTACAAACTATTATATGTTCATCACAACCAAAAATGTTTAATTTTCTGTCATCTCAATCAATTTTCTGTCAATCTTGATTTTTCTGAAACTTAATCTCAAGAATCCAGTTGGATCAATGAACCATGAAGGTGGAAGTGTTCTTACGTGGGGGTGTAAATCAGCCTCAAAATTAGGTAATTTGGTTTTTTTTTTTGGTATTGTGAATCATGAGCTCTATTTAAATATTTTAAAGATAAATTTTAAATTATCCACCCAAAATTTGGATATTTAAGACGACTTTATCTTTAACAGATAATGACGCCAAGCTCACTGCTCTCAATGTACGCCGCCGGTGTCTCTATAACTGTGCCAAAATTATGAAAACACCTCCTTAATCATTTTATTTAGCCCATTAGAACATATTTGGTGGGAATTTGATTTAAAAAACTGAAAACATGACATACAAACACATAATGGGATGGAAAAACAGTAATCACAGAACCTTGGAGAAAAATCGATGCAGAAATTACAAAAAACTGATTAAATCTATACCAAGACGTTTAAAAGTTGTTGTGCACATTAAAAGATATCCTAATAAGAATAAGTTAAGAAAGAAATACAATATTTAAAGCTATGTTGAGATTTTTGTTAAGTGTACGAAGACTTTTGTGGCGCAATTTTTCAGTAGCTTTTTGTGATTATTAGTTTTTAAAATAATATTTGTACTATTTTTAAAAAAATTGATTATGTCATTCCATTACGAACAAGTTGCAGACACCATAAAAAAATTACAATGGTAACGTTACCGTTTCCCACACACACAAAAAAAAAATTACAATTCCAAAATATTAATTTTTATTAGTCGAAAATATTAAATTTTGTCCGAAATTGCAAGTGTATGAACACTTTTGTGATCTACTGTAATAGCATTTTTTTAAAAAAAATTATGAGCTAGCAATGTGTCTAATTATGGGTATTGATTTAAAAAGATCAGTTCATTCGTAAATTAAATTTGTTATTTTCAATTATACATATGTGCAATTATTGAATGCAATTTCAAATAATTATTTCATCCATTTTCAAACAACTGTGAATTGAAACAATGTTTAATTAACTTTTATGTTGGTAAAGAAAACATTTTATTTTTATAATGAAACAAGTTGATGAAAAATTATTTCTGAAAGAGAATCCATTTCTTTCAAATAGCTAGATTTCGTATAGTAAACGAAATGGTTGTGATTTACAACAATAGAGGGAGGCACCTATCTTTTCATAAAAAAAGTATAGAAGTGAACTAGGAACTGAACTTATAACCTGTGCATAACATTTAAAATTAAAAATAAAAAACTCGAAATGAAAAAAGAATTTTGTTTATTTTTAAAGTTAATGAATTTGACTAAAGATACAAAATAGAAAAACTGAAATATTTTGGAGTATTCAAAACAGAATTTTGTTTTTCAATTATTTCGGCTTAATTTATTCAGTAGAAAGTAAGAATTGAATCTATGCCTTCGTTAGTCTTCAGTGACTACACAGATCTTTTGAAATCATTGAAATTGTCGTTTCGTATAATGCCACAGACTTCCTTGTTTCTAACGAGCTGAAGTTTCTGTAAATCACAATGAATGTCAAGTTTTGACTTGCTTTATATTCATTATCTATGTAGTCCGATATATTTGCCGTAAGTCATTTCTAAAGAGGTCATATTTTTTTCGTTATGGCGATTACAAAATTAGCATGTGACGATTTACACAACAACAGCTATAACGAAAAAAAAACCCATTTAGATTTTATTTATGTTATGTGAAGGTAAAATCTCATGTATATATATAAACATATAATTAATTTATTGTTATAAAATACATATGGTCTTAAGTCGAAAATGATTCAAAGAGAGGTGCATGTGTTTTAATTTAAAATTTATTCACTACTATTCTTTTTTTGGGCAACTTTTATTTTTATAATTGCAAAAAACAAAATTATTAAGCTAATGATAAGTACAAATTACATTATTTTAAATAAAATGAGTATTTTTCTTAGCATTTTTTGGATACTCTCGTATAATATTCTAGTGTACATTTTCATAAATCAAGTCTTTAACAATAATTTCAAGCATTTCAATGTCTCAGTTATTTTACATATATGTTAAAGTAACTGAGAGATATTGAAATGCATGGAATTGTTGTTCAAGACATAATTTCGAAAAAATATATGTAAATGTATTATGTATAATGCATTTAAAATTTTAAGTATTTATGCTTATTTTATAAACAACATCAATAATTGCATACATTTTTAGAGCTATTATTCTTACAGTTATGGATTTTCTTTTCAAAATAAAACGTTTTAAAATCAGTGGTGTTAGAGAATGTTTGCCCCCTCCCCCCGCAAGGTCAGGATTTGGGCTCACAGCCGGATCATTCAAAGGGCGTCAGTCAGGCTTTGGGTCCCTAGAATCCTGCCCCGTCACCCTATGTGGGGGCTGCGGGGGGATACGTTACGCCACTGGTGTTAATGTCTCTTTTGCAGAATTATTCAGGAAATAAAAAATAAGGTGCGTTAGAAAATTATTGCTCAAATTGTCCAGATTTGTAGAGGGAATCGTTTTTTTCTCTCTTTATAATAGAAAAAAAATTCGGGAAATTTGTATTTTAGTGGTGGATGTTGCTGTTTATGAAGTCTATGATGTCCTATAGGTTTATATTATGTTATTTCACATATAGAGCTTCAGTAGTATACATTTCTACAAGATTTCGAAAATTGCAGATATCTATCTTAAGAAGCATCTCTCTTATGGGGCAGAGAAAACGGTAATGAATACGCTGCTGAAAGGTGTTTTGCTATAAATAATTCCCGACTATTATCAAATGTAAAGTACGTGTGAAAATATTCTTGTGAAGGTCTATACACCAGAGATGCTAAGATTGTGTGCTCGTTGGTGGTTGCTTTTGCCCATTTACTGTAATACTAGGAGAGAGAGAGAGAGACTTGTTAAAAGACATATTTCATCAGACCAAGGATTCACAATCGTTTTCTTTTGTGTTTATGGACCCTTGAATTCTAACTTTAAATATGGGGATCCTCAAATATGCATGACTAAATTTTGAAACTAACTTATTAATGCATATTTTCAGGTTAACTAAAAAAAATATTTTAACAATTCTTTTGCAATGTAAATAATGTAAATTATATACTTATTAAAAATATATAGACATAAAAAATGGGCACAAAAATAAATGATTATTGTTTTACTCTGACATCATGCTTGTGGATACTCTACGAAATTTTTTTTCACTAGAACTATGAAGTTCAGTAACATTAACAATACTTTTCACTGTAATGATTACGTTAACTCACTATAGAATTAAAGGACTTTCTCTGGCTCACTGATAGGACAGTGAGATGTCGTCCTCGTCACTTGACTGTGGTTCAAAATTACGAGCTCCGTCGCCAGTAGCCCTCGTGTTGTTTTATAGTGTATTGTTAATAAACAGGTACTCATTCTGACTGTTTCTAGTTTCGTTGATACTCAAATCGTTATTTTTTCAAGAGAATTTTTTCTGTTGCCAGAATCCCTCCTCCTTATTAATTAAAAAAAGTTCCAGAAAATGTAAGTATTTTCCAACCCCAAAATTATGGAACTTCTTATTTTATATCATTAGTAAGTTATTTTATTAATAATATTTTATTGCGAGTTTCTTAGTTCAGATAAAGAATTATGAATGTAATCTAGTGGAGTTTTTAAAGCTTCTATGAGCTCATAAGGTTCCATATGGACCCCAGTGGAAAAACTCCAATTTAAACGATTTTAATCTTATCTTCAGATTTTATCTACAGCGCTTAAGTGCGAAATTTCTCATGGAGAAAACATTTCAGTTCTCCTTTCCAATTTTGACTCTAATTATATCATACAATCACCCTGAATTTATTGTATAAAATAACTAGCTAGTATACCAATTTTTCACACGGCTGAATTGAAAAATAAAACAAGTAATATAAAAAAATTATGTCAATTCCTACTTATGCCAACAAAGAAAGATTTTATTTTAGTTACTTTTTATTAAATAATTACAATTAATATAAACATATATGACAGACTATACATATATGACAGAATCACAATATTAAGTGGCTAAATATAAATCGATTTTCCTTGCAATTTTTCATTTTTCATTCTATATATGGCGTTGGGATACTTTTTTTTATTTGTTTCTATTTATTCATTAAATAATTCAATTATTCCAATAAAATAGTATATTAAAATATAAATCCCATTCTCAGAAATTAGGCTATCCCAGGTGGGATTCGAACTCAATTCTTTTGGATTAGGAGTCCAACGCACTATCCATTGTACTACAGAGACACAACAAACGATTTTCCCTTTTATATGTGCTGATGGACTATTATTTTTGTGTTTGTTACTATTTATCCATTTTTTAATTTAATTAATGAATAAAAATTTGAACATACCGTATTAACTTCAAGTGTCATCCACTACAAGTTTAAAAAAATGTATTTAAACTTGAATATAGATGGAAAGTATTTTATTAACGATTGAAAATTTGAAGAACAAGACATATATATGTCTTCCCATGCACCTCAGCGCCTAAGGTCACGAAAACCGAGATAGGCACTGTGAAACTGATTTTAGTATATATATATATATTCAGCCATTCCCACGCTTTGATGCATTTGGGTCCAGAATCTAGCAGTAACTTGTTTATTGTACTCAGATTTAGCCTGTATTTTTTAATGCAATTTTTAGGTAAATTAACTTTTTTTCTTGTAATGGATTTAGATATTCTATCCGTTATTTTCAATAGGCTTCTGCTCAGTATTATTAACAGAAAGGGGGAAGGTTGCATTCCAAAGAAGGCCTTTTATTGCTTTCCAAAGTCTTCGGAATAATTTTAGGGATAGCAGTGCACAGAAAAGATCGTACTTCGGAAAGACGTATATATACGTCCAGAAATGTTTTGGCTGAGCGAGTCGTTTATATACGCCGGTGTAAATTAAGAGGTTAAAGTAGTATTGTAGCATTAGAGAGTCAAAGAATAGCATTGAATTCACACAATACGTTGTTATTGTTTGGAGGGGGGTCGCGATGAAACTTATGAACGAATATTGGTTCGCGAATATTGAAAGTTTTGAAAAGCACTGTCTTACAGTAATGATATTGAAGAGAGGTAATTGGTATGTTTTTCCTAAAAGTTTATGACATTTTCTGAAAATTCTGGAAGTTCCAGCTCTTACAACAATAATATAATCTAGTATTTATAATAGAAATAGATGATTATATCCTCTTCCGTGTTTTTTCAGGAATAGTTCTTTAAAATGAAAAATCTCTCTCTCTGAAGTATAAAGAAATAAAAACGTTTAAAGAAATAGCTAATTAGAGTTTTCAGCGTTATAAATTGTTATCAAGGCTCTTGTCAATTCACTGAGAAATAACACTTTTTATAACAAATAATTTTTAAAATTTTTCTTATTCTCTTGTAAATTTATCAAGAGGAAAGGGGAAAATAGAAACAAATTATTTTATTTACATTTTTTGTTTTATTTAATTATTTTAGTTCTTATATAGTCTCCACGGGGTCGATTAGTAGTTCGACTAAAGACTCGCAGGAAAAATGATGGCGGTCACTCTCTTTAAATCGGTCTACACCTGTACGTCCTCATGTGGTGCGGTATGGAAGTTAAAATAATAATAATAATAATAATAATAAATCAAGTGTCATCCTCTCTATTGTCATTTGATAACGAATGAAAATTATGAAGGACTTTACCAACATGGCATTTTATTTAAGATTGACGCTGAATGCTAGGGAGAAAAATATTCCAAGTGTAAAATGTTTCATAATGAAATAAAGATAAGAGAAAGGTATATTAATCTGGGTTGTTTATTTGAAAAATGTTTAAAATGATAATGGAAAAAAAAATGCTGTAAATGACATCTCGACAAAAACAATTGTGACTTCTAGCTATTTTCGATTAAGCCTTTTGAAGAGTGTCCCTGTGAGAATTTTTTTCGCGTTAATTTCAACATTATAGTTCAATATCAATTATATTTTCATTTTAAGAGCAGAATCATGTTTCTTTAAAGCTCCTTACACAAAAATAATAGTAAATGAAAGTGAAGAAAACTCTGAAGTGATAATTTTAGCTCTCTTTGAGCATATCCAAAAGTATTTTTCATTCCGTGAAAATTTAAAAATATTTTGCTTGAAATCTCGATAATGTTATACATGAATTTGAATGCTTGTGTGTATTTTAGTAACTTATAGTTGATCGCATTTCCTAAATTTTTCAAGGAGCCTCACTGATGTTTCAAAAGAAATGTGAAAATGCCCACCCCCTCCAATAAAAAAATTTCAAATTTATTTTTAGGGATTTTTTTACCCCCTTCTCCCTTGTGCTAAAGAAAGTGTTTGTGCGTCTATGAGTGAAGTCGCCAAATACCGTGATAGGGAGCCAAAAGTGGAAACATTTTTCTATTGATGTTTAGAAAACGATTATTGTTCTTGTCAGCATGTTTTGATTTTACATCATTCAAGAAGGGGGTTGCGAGGAGGGTTGCGGGGTACTGTATATAAAAACAATTTTCGTTTTCGAACTATTAGACTGACAGACTTGAAATTTGTAAGCATGTTTCTTTTCTTCAGTAGAGATCCGCCGTGAACGGTCCTATAGAAATCGACTCCCAAGTGGGTTGTGGGGGCATCAAAGCAAAATAATATGCCATTTTGGAAATTCTTTTTTTAGATCAAGATAGAATTCAATAGGCCTGTTCTACTTAAATCAAGATGTGAGGACTACTATAAATATGTCTTAGAATGCAATCGAAAGCTTAATGCTAGGATTTAGATATCAATAACTTTAAAAAAAGTATTTAGACATACGTTATTATGAAATATTTGATGAAATGGATGGGTAATGGTCAGAAATTAATAGTAATTCGGTATTTAAATGCATTTCATATGATTCGAGTAACTGCTCTTCAGTTACTTTGCATAGAACCAATACTTCAATAATTCATTACGTCCAGCATTGGATTACCTTTAGTGCCATTTGAACAACAAGTTGACAGAAAGGAACATTGAATTATGTATCGTTTCTATGAAACTGAATATTTCTTTCCTTGTCTCGGCTGAATCCTACCATTTGTAGTGGGATATCGCGCTATCTAACAGAAAATCAATCAGATCTACCAGAAAATTTAGCAGATTTAAAACATCGTCTTACTCAAACACAGCACAAGCTACCTTAACAGTGTTTAGAAGTATTGCACCACAGCCTACCTCAATTCGTTCGAACCTGCGTTGCACCACGAAAGAGTTAAAATTTATTAAGACTAACAATCGCAAATTAGTACAAATTTTATTATTTTCTGTTGTAAAACATGAAATAAATCTTATTGCATTTTCATTTTGTTGTCATTTAAGCATTTGTACATGCTATTTTTGTGGTAATAATTTAAAATTAAAGGCATCACACTTCTAAAAAGCGTTGCGTGTGTTTTTTAAAGAAACATGTGTTTCGCTTGGTAATGCAGTACAGTATGGTAACCACTACTCGATACTTGAAAACATACATTGAAAAAGATAACTATTATCACTCTTACAAAATCTTAGAAACGCGCGTTTAAAAAACTCTTCCTTTTTTACACTAAAAGCACAGTTTTTAGTGTAAAAAAGGAAGAGGGCATGGTAGTGCTACATAAGCGTAGAGCGTGCGTAAGGCATGCGTAGTGCTACATGAGTTTGGGCACGCACTAACACAGCATACTGAATATGTGATTCCCCATAATTCTTTTTAAAGAATTATATCAAATAATTAATATGGTACTTATCGACCAAAAGTGGTAAGAGATACTAGTTTATTCGTCTACAGTGCTGTAGTTGAAGTTTAAATGGTATTTATAGATGTTCATTTATTATACAAATTAAATATGTAATAATTATATATACATTCTGTGATTAAATTACCTTTACCTTTAGTATCATTTTGTCTAAACATAATATGAGTCAACGTAGAATGATAAAATTAACTGAGTGTGTCGGATTAGGATTCACAGACAGTATAGAATCTCAATAACAGTTCCAGGCATAGTAGAAACTCTAAAATATGTTTTATTTTTGATCAAAATATCAAAAATACTTACACAAATTGGACGGTTTACCTAACCGAATCTTAATGAAATATATAATAGTATTTATTCAATTCCTACTATAGTTCACATTCTCTATATATTTATATATTTATCTAATATATCTCTTTACATGTTTGCTCAAATTTTCAATCGTTAATAAAATGCATTTTAAAGCACTCAATTGAGCTGAAATTTTATGTACACGATTATTTTGGATGACAATACAGTACTTTAATTATAATTAATAAAAATTAATTGATTAAAACTAGTTATTTAAAGAATTACAAACACAGCCACGTTGGCATTATTTTTGGCGACTTGTGTCAAAACTTGAAAAGGTTATTTTTCCTTCGCATTTTAAAGTGCTCCTTTGAGTTGAAATTTTCTATACACTATTGTTTAGGGTAACAAAAAATTTTATTAATTAAAATTATTAACTAAAATGAATTATTTAAAGAATTACAGTTACAGTTACGTTGGCTTCATTTTTAGCGACTTGGGTCAAAACCTTAAGATTTTCCCCCCTCATGTTTCAAAGCATTCATTTGAACTGAAATTTTATAGACACGATTGTTTTGGATGACAATACGATACTTGAATGATAATTAATAAAAAATTAATTGCCACTTAATGCTGTGATTCTGTCATATGTATATACATATTTATTTTAATTGTAACTATTTAATAAAAAGCAACTAAAATAATTTTTTTTGGGATCAAAGTAGGAATTGACAAAACTTTTTTATGTTACTTGTTTTTTAAGAAACCTCTACTGAGCAGCTAAACTTGAATGATGACGTACTATTGATGCCGAGTAAATCTATCTGAATTTGCTAATTAGTAAATTTCACTGTGAAATTCGTAATGCTTTTATAACGCACACTACCACTTAGATAATATTTTTAATATTTTCTCGTCCCCTTCTATTGTATTTAAATAGAACAGTGGTCTTCAAACTATGTTCTACGGAACCCTGGGGTTCCACGAGTCACAATAAAAAAATCTAGAAGAAATAATTATGTATGGAAAATGGATTCACGTTCTGTATGAAGTTTATATAGTTACAAGTATCTAAAGCTCTCATCCGATTCATTAAAATTGAAAATTTTATTTATATATAACTTTATTTTGCAATACTTTTTAAACTTTTCTTACAATATAATAAATGAATATTAAAACGTTTTATCTTTTTGTATACATATATATATATATTA